CCTGCCGTCCACTCGCAGCTGGTCTCGCCCGTCGTCCACCGCGGGTGCTGTGGAGGTGGGGGGCAGCAGTGACGGGTCGGTGCTGCTGGGGTGCAGCACGCCCATTAAAGGGGGCGAGGGTGGGGTGTGTGACGATGGCAGCAGCACAGCGGTGGGCGGATCTGCTGTTTACGGGAGTGTGACACGGCGAGGTGTGAGCAGCAGGAGGGGCAAGGGTGTGCCCACTGACATCACTGGCTGAAAACGTAAGTGGTACCGTATGACTGGCCATTTACAGTACTACCATACTATCCAGACAAAGCAATCAACATCGCCATGAAATCGTCCCAAAGAGATGGGCACGCAGTTCAAGTGCCCATCGCCCTAGGCTATACAGTATTCTTGTTCATTATTTAGTGCTGGACGTATTCACGAGTGGACGCTGCTGCCTGTACGTAGACAACAATAACAAGTTTCTGAAATCAAATCTGTTTTTGGCAGATGTAAACTAGAGATTGGCTAACAGCTGGAATGCGAAGTTGGCTCAGCTAAATTTTTCTACTAGAAAACAATGATCACTTTATACAAAGAAGCACAAAGCTGAAAGGCCTTGTGGGGACATAGCCCAAAGAATGATGGGGCACTTGCCCAAACCACAGCTCTCTAGAGTAGCAGTGAGTGGAAGACTGGCAGACGCCACAGCAGCAATTCAGCAGCATGTGCCAACTCCACGTGACTACCGGGTCACAGCAGGAGGCCACAGAAAGCCTAGTAGCAGGAGGAACACAAAGTTCACGCTTGCCCCTTCATGCCGCAGTAAGCTCACAGCCAGCCCAGCAGCACCAAAGGCGATCAGACAGCAACAGTGTGTCAGCTGTCGCCAATGGCCGCGTGTCAGCTGTCGCCAATGGCCGCGTGTCAGCTGTCGCCAATGGCCGCGTGTCAGCTGTCGCCAATGGCCGCGTGTCAGCTGTCGCCAATGGCCGCGTGTCAGCTGTCACGTGCCAGCTCCTTCTCCCGAGCTCGTCTCGCTGTGTGTGGGCCCCTCTGCCTCTGGCCATACTTGGCCCTCCCGCTGCCACTATGCCGTTTCTCTGGATGTCGCCTGGGGAGGCAACAGCCACGCTTATGTGCCTTGGTGCGACGAGCTCAGCACCCGGTAACGCTGACACACACACCTCAGCTGCTGCATCAGGCTCACACAAGCGCGTCGCCCGCCACACTCTGCAGTTGCCCCGCCCCCACTTCCTCTCACCATCAACAACACGAAGCACCGCTCACAACCGAGCACATCCAAATAATTCAACGCACACACTACCGTCCACCACCCCCACGCGGATCCTCTCCCTCGAGACCTCGCGTCTGCTACTATCCTGTCCGCCCGCGTCCGTGTGACTCGCCAATTCATCCTTCATATAATTACGTCGGCCTGCGCTGGCGCTCAACTCGCGCGCACGGAATTAGTCGCACCATCCATGCGCGCTCTTGAGTCGCCTAGTCCCGGTGCGGCGGCGCGTGGTGCGCGGTGGGGCGCGCGTCGAAGACGCCGTCGATGAGGTGGTCGACGGCGGCGTCCAGCCAGTGCAAGCACCCGCGCGCCAGGATGTCCGACACGTGCCGCTTCGACCGCCACGCCACGGCGTAACCCGCCGACACCGAGGCTGCGCCAATGCCCAGCGAGAGCGCGGGGAGCAGCGCGCTGCGGTCGACGGCGCTGAAGATGCCGTTGCCCGTCGCGAACTCCACCAGCAGCGCGAGCGCCAGCGCCACCTGTGGGGGGCGGGGGAGGGTAGCAACCGCGCAGGAAGCTTGGGCGTTGAGTGCTCTGCGCAGAGAATCTTTCCCGGTGCGACCAACAATCTCTTATTCAAAAAGCAGGATGCGAATTGTGCTGTTTGGACTCACCATGGCGGCCCGGCCGGCTTGGGTCTCGAGGTCCTCGACCTGCGCTGACGCCTCGACGGTGGCCATGAGCAGGTCCGCCAGCTGCTTGCCGTGCCCGTCCTCCACCACGCGCACCGCCAGCGCCACGGGCCGCACGCCCGCCTCGCCCGTCGACGACTCGTGAAAGTCCTCCAGGTGGCACAGCCGTGGCACCACCTGCGACTCGGGGATGGGCGCCGCGCTGAAGTCGCCGATCGACGCGCTCAGACCCGTACGCGCACGGTTACCGGCGGGGCGTTGTCTTTGCGAGGTGGAGGGCGAGGACGAGAGGACGGCTGAGATGGCGTGCCGCAGGACTAGCGTTTGGGCCATCGCGTCGCGAAGTTTGGCTGTCAGAAGTGCCGGTCGATCGCGCAAGTCTGGGACCGATATCGTGAACGAAGGCAGTCGGTCACTATAGTTGAAGAACGGGCCAACGGATCGATAACAGCGAGCACAAGCGTCAAGAAAGGCGAAGGGCCGGGCTTACAGACAAAGCTTCCGCTTGGTTGGGCTCGATGCGGTAACAAGGTACAAGCGAGAATGGGGGCAAGAAGAATTAGTTGCGCACTGGTCGCTTGTTCTTCTCTTGTACAAGCAGCGATGACCTCGACCAAGCAGCGATGACCTCGACCAAGCAGCTCGAGCTGGGTTGGATTGGGAGGTTGGCGGGGGGTCGTCTGGCTGTCAGATGCGGCGCGCCTTCCTACCCATCGTGCGGTTCAATGCTCAAAGCTGGAAGGTGGTTGTGTGACAGAAGACGCGGGCAGCTGGATAGTGTAGGACGGGCTGCCCGGCTTTCTTTAGGTCCTACATGAAATTCTATTGGTGCACGTGTAGTTTGACGTTCGAAAGGCACGTGTTTCTCACGCCCTACACGTCATTGGAAGCCCGGTGGTGTTCCGGACACCAATGGGAAAGCGCTCGCGCCAGCAAGCAAACCACATTCCAGCCCAGAGACTTTTGCCAGGTGGTGTGTGTCGGTGATTGGAGTGGACGGTTTCTTGCTTTCGCGGTCCACTAAACACCGTTGAAATCATGAAGCAAAGGTGTCGGTAAAGAACGCATACGGTCAGGATTCACAAAGAATAACAGCTGCAATTGACCCCACGAATCTACGACAGAGGGTTGATGAATTTCCCGCATGAAAAATGATGTGGGCCGCTGCCTTCCAGCGCAGCTTGCTACGATCTGACGTGCAAGGGCACGTGTAAAGCCAGATCCAGCGGTGACCTTCCGGCCCTCCCGGCTGTTGTGCTAAGCCTCGCCGCCTCGTCCCACCGAAACAGAAAGTTTTGGAATCATTCCTAACCATTCCGTACCCACTGAAAGACGTACTCAAGGCACTGCAAAATGCAACACCAGAAACGATTTTATTTGTATAAAAAGGAAGTGGGGAAGTCAATGTTAAAACTTTGATTAAACCCTACTAGTTCTCATACATCTGAAAGGTGATATGGCCTGTCACCCCATACATGCCAGGGCTGCATGGTAATTGCTAATTTCTGTACAATGCAAGATGAAAATGGACCCTAGTAAACCCACTTTAAAATAACTTCCACCCAGGAAAGCTACTTGATTGTGGAATTGCAGAGCCAGAAGGGGAGGATGAGGAGGTGGGGAATAGTGTGGTGGGTGTGCGCTCAAAGAAGGCCAGCGGCACCGCCTTCACTCGCCGCCCCAACTGGTGGGGGGGAGGGGGAACAGGTGTGGAAACAAAGACACGTCCAGGAAAGAATACAAATTCAGCACTGCGGCTTACATGTGTACAGCGTGGTTTGGCTTGGCTAGCGTTATAGGAACGAAAACATGTGACCATGCGAAAACATCTCCGTAGGTCAACACTTCTTGGGGGGAAATCCGCTGGGAAAGTGGTGTTTCAGTGGTTACCTTCTCCTAACCAGGTTGAATGTGTACTTTTGGTCCCAGTGGTAAGTTGTTGGGGGCTGTGCCTCTACTCTACTCTGCCTGCGCGCTGATGGAAGCAGCTCTGCCACTGCAGCACCATGCACGGCACAATGTGCACCGCAAAGCACCCTACGGAGCTGCGCTGCGCTGCAATGCACGGCATGGCACGGCACGCACCTCGTCGGCCATGATGGTGGCATAGGAGGCGGAGGAGAAGTCAGCGACGTTGAGCTCCACCGTGCTGCTGCGCTCCGATAGGTCCTTCTCCAACGATGCCACGAACCTACCCCCATGGCAGTGGGGGTGGGGAGAGGGGAGACACAGGGAGGGAGTGGAGACAGGAGAAGCGGCCATGAGTTGCAGATGCATGGAGGTGCTGCTGCCACGGAGATGATTGCATTTGTTTTGGGGGAGAAAAGGGTTTTAAGAGGGGGTTGGAGGAGAGTACCGTGAGACAGCGGGGCAGTAGTGGCGCTGCAGTGCCTCCACCTCCCACAGGCTGCTGTCTGTAAGGTGGGGAGGAGGAGGGAGGCAGGCACACACACGACAGCCAAGGGCAAGGCAAGCGAGTGTGTTGCAAGTTTGAGCATGAGCACAAGCGCATGCCATGCCATGCAATGACACGTTCCTGACAAACTCGATGGTAGGACGTGAGAGAGAGGTTCCTACCAAGGGCGCGGGCAGCCATGAGGTCCGTGGCATCCTCGTCAAACGGATCCCTCCCTACTAGCCTCCCCGCTCTGCTTCCCTCCCCCCCTGCTCCTGCCGCCCTCTCTCCACTCTCTCCTCCTCCTCCTTTCCCTTCCGTGCCCTTTCTCCCCGTTCCATCCTCATCAGCTGTACTCTCCTTCCCATCAGCACTGCCCTCCTCGCCCTTGCCATTCCCTGCCTCCTGTCCTTTCTTCTTATCCCCGTCCTGTCCTTCCTGCCCGTCCTGCTCTCGCTGCGCACCGTGCTTCTGTTCCCCCTCATCCTCCTCGCCACTGCTGCTGTCCTGAAGAGCCCACCACACCACACACGCACAAAAGAGCTTTGCAGATTCAGAGGCGCACCAACAGCATCAGGTAATTTTTGCATCAGGAAGAGAACAATTCTAAAACGTTTGCACTTCACATCGGCGGAGAAGTGGGCGCAACTGTGGGACAGGGGGCAACAGCACCCAGCCAGAAGCAAGGAGCAAGAGGGTCGTCGCACGCGCCCCTATTGCCGCGCCAATTGTGAAAAGGGCCACGCCTCACCTGCAGTGTGTGTGGGATCACCTGCTGTGTGTGTGGGATCACCTGCTGTGTGTGTGGGATCACCTGCTGTGTGTGTGGCCTCACCTGCAGTGTGTGTGGCCTCACCTGCAGTGTGTGTGGCCTCACCTGCAGTGTGTGTGGCCTCACCTGGAGAGTGTCAGGCGGGGCGGTGCGGTGCACGAGGGGGGCGATGGAGGGGTGGCGGCGCAGCAGGTTGTGGGCGAGCGCCACCACGACTATGGCGCCCGCGGGGGGCGCAGAGAGTGAGAGGCGAAACAGCTGCTTCGTGCACGCCGCTGCCATGTACGCCGGGAGCAGTGGGGAGGCTAGACTCACGTCCAGCAGCTGGGTGTGGAGGGCAGGGGAGAAAGGGAAGAGGGGAAGGAAGGGGGACAGTTGAAAAACAGTGTGCATGGGTGACGTGGTTGCACATGAGGACAGATGTGCTCTGTGCGAATATGTGCCCGCGACACCATGGGTGAAGTTACCGGCATAGTACCGCATGGCATGTGGCGTGGCGTGTGATATGACAATTGACAGCACGGCATGGCATTGTGGCACGGCATGGCACAGCACGGCACGGCACCTCAAAGAACTTGGCACGGTGGGCGGCACGAAAGACGGAGGAGTCAAGGAGGCGGTAGAGGCGCGGGTAGTAGTGCGGGCACTCCAAGCCGTGCTCCGTCACCAGCCGGAACAGCGCCGCCAGCGCTGCCACCGCACACGCCCCTCCCTGCTCGTACGATGCCGTGAGGAAGTCGCTGGGGGGGTAAAATGGCGCGATGGAGAGGACAAGGGACAGGGGTGCAGTGGGCGCGTGAGGCGGTGGTACGACCACACATGGCGTCCATGGGATGAGAACACGCGAGGTGGGAGGGCAGGTGGCGAGGATGGTCAAAAGAGAGCGTATGTGGGGGAGGAATGTTTGGGGGAGGAATCTTTAGGGCACAGGGTAGCACATGACGAGGTAGGGGGGAGGTGAGAGGAGGTGAGATGGGTGGGTGCGTAGGGGCAGGAGTGCACCTGAGCAGCAAGGGATTGGGCAGATGTGGGATGAGGTTGTGCAGGCGACCCAACACCTGCCGCATGGTGGAGGGCGCGTGACGAGATGGGCGGGTGAAGGGACAGGGAAGGAAATACCAGGAAATAAGGCGAGTGTGGCTGGCGAGGGGTCAGGCAGCAGGGGAAGCAGTGTGAGGCAGGGGCGCAAAGAGAGGTGCAATATGTGTGTTGGGGGGGCGGTGGAGGAGTTGGGGTAGGGTGGGTGCGGGCTGTGGCGAGAAGAGAAGAGGGGCGGTGATTACCTTCTTGTACGCCTCGAGGGGCAGAGGCAGCGCCAGCAGCCCCAGCCACGCCCCTGCCAGCGCCTTGCGCTCCTCCCCCACCACCGCTACCCTCCTCTCCTCCGCCTCCCCCGCCCCCTGCTCCCCCTCTTCCTCCCGCTCCCCCTCGTCTTTCATCCCCACCGCCCGCTTCCTGTTGCCCTGCTGCCCTGCCTGCCTCGCTCGCTTGCCACCCGCACTCTTCTTTGCCTCCCCCTGCTGCGCTCCCCCTGCACTCCACGGGGATTGGGGGAAAAGAAGAAGAGAGAGTGAGAGTGAGAGGGTGGCGGCGGCCAGGGAGATGCAGCAGAAGCAAGCAACATGCAAGAAAGGCAAGTACGGGGGAAGATGGAGTGGTGAGGACCCAGCCCAAGGCAGCACGCACGCACCAGAGGTTGGGGCGGGCAGCGCCCAGGTGGAGAGCAGGAGGTCGTGCTGGCCCCCGCCCTGCCCCTCCTCCGCCACCCGCCTCTTGCCACCCGGCTTGGGGGCGGGCGGCATGGGCATGGCTAGCAGCACCTCCAGTATGTTGAGACACATGGCGTCCTGTGATTGGCGCATGGGGGAAACGGAAGTGGTGATGGCAATGAGGAGAAGACACGCTGCCTGAGGTGAGCGCAGCGCAGCAGGAGATGTGAGGTGAATGAAATGCACATTCAAGGACGTTCACAGGGCATGGCGCTAGCTAGACACGTGATACGATGCAGCAGAAAAGCGGATGGGTTGGGGTGGAAAGGGGTGTGGTCGAGAACTCACTCGCTTGGCGGCGGCTGAGAGCGGTCGTGGATGGACAGGTGGCACGCAGGCAGGGCGGCATCCGGCGTGCAGCACACGTCGTGGGAGCGTGCACGGGCGTTTGAGGTGGCCGGCGCACTGGGACGAGCACGCACGGGGATGAGCACGGGGATGAGCACGGGGATGAGGCATGGCGAAGAGAGGAGCGAAGACAAGCATTCGAGGCAAATTCTACTGAAAAACAAGCAGCAATGCCTTGGGCTGAAGAATGCAATTGATCTGATTCAAAGTTCAAACAGAGACAGCGAGAATGCAAGCAGGGGCATGGAATGTGAAGTGTGCAGGCGGGTGGTGGTTCAACCCAACACAACACAGTGCGGTGCAGGTGGCATACCGGCATGGGCATCAGCATCCTGAGGCGCATTGGAATGATTGGCGGCGGCAGCAGCCATGGTGGCGCACAGCTGCTCCACTGCCCCGTACACATGCCGCCTGCCATGGCGTGCCGTGGGAGCATGAGTGCGGGGGGGTGAGAGGAACGGTGAAGGACAATACTGGTGGCTGTGCTTGGTGGGTGGTGGTGGTGGGGACGGCATGCACGAATCACGATACGCACGAGCAGTGGCAGTACAACATGCCATGTGCAGCGCAGCGAAACACGCGCCCACCTGACGTCAGCATGGGTGAAGAAGAGGGCGAACTTGGCGCGCACTGCGGGGTCGCCCGCCTCGCCCTCCACCTGCAGGGGGGGAGAGGAGAGGGCAGGGAGAGGGGGACGTGGGGAGAGTTGGGTGAAAGGGAGAGGAGGAAGAGGGATTGGGAGACGACTGGGAATGGCGGTCAGGGAAGAGCGCTTGGTTTGAATGCGCATGGCGTGGCTCACCAGCGGGGTGGCTCACCAGCGGGGTGGCTCACCAGCGGAACGAGTATTTTGTTGATGGTGCTGCCAGCGAGGCTGCCTTTCTTCTCCAGTCGAGCCAGCTCCATCAGATGCTCCACCGCCACCCGCTGATGGGGGAGGAGAGGGGGAGGAGGGCGTAGAGGGGAGAAAGATGGGGCGGGTGGACATGCAAAATGAAGTGCATTAAGCCCGGGGACCACAGTAGCCCACTCATCGCCACGCCCTTCCCCCTCTCCGCCCTCCGCTCTGCTCATGTCTCCACCACCCTCTGCTCATGTCTCCACCACCCTCTGCTCATGTCTCCACCACCCTCTGCTCATGTCTCCACCACCCTCTGCTCATGTCTCCACCACCCTCTGCTCCCACCCCTGGTGCGCTCTCGCCTCCACTCCCAACATCCGCTGCGCACTGCGCGCCCACCATCCCCCCAACACATTCCCCTCCCTTCCCCACCATGTCCCCCCTCCCCGCACCTTGCTGGCGGCGCTGCTCTCCGCGGCTCTGAGGCGGGCCTTCAGCGCGCCCGTGTACTCGCCATACCGCGAGCGCGCCCACTGCTGGTACACCTCCTCCTTCGCCCGCTCCTCCCCCGCCCGCCCGCTCGCACCGCCCGCGCGGCTGGCTGCCACGTTGCACGAAGGGAAATGAAGGGGGGCGGAGGGGGGAAGGGGGGGTGGTGGTGGGGGAGGAGGGGGAGAGGAGGGGTGCGTGAGAGGCGGGGAAGGGTGGTGCGGCGGCACCGGCTGTGAGGCTTGCTGGCAGAGCCGCTTCCGCGCCGCCCGGTCAGGCAGCGGCGCGCAATGGCGGAATTCCGTAACATGACGGGGGAGAGAGTGGGCTTCGCGGGGAGACGGTAGTGAAGGGGTTTATGAGGGTTCAGGGATTATACTGCAGGGCGGGGATTATGCGGAGCGAGGCGCAAGGGGCATACAGGGCGCGGGGTGGAGCAGCAACTCGTCGGAGCGCAGCAGCTGCGCGAAGAACGCCTGCAGCACCGTCACCGCCTCCGCCGCCACCGCGCCGTCGCGATGCGCGGCGAAGCGCAGCAGCGCGACGACGTTGTTGACGTGCTCGCGCGACTGCAACAGCTGCGCGCCGAGCCGCCGCACCTGCTCCAGCGGAGGCGCCTCGCGCACCACCATGGCGGAGCGCTGGGGGGAAACGACGGGCGGGAGGAGCGGCGGATGGATGGGGACCTAGATGATAGCGAAGGTGCGGCGCGCGTCGATGTTGGTGAGCGACGCAAAGGTGCGACTACAATCGGAGCGAACTGGTGCGCCGCGTGTCGCGTGGGAAGCGTAGAAGAAGAGGTGAAGTTGGTGAACAATTGGCCCCGAGAGCGGGGTTTATGGCTGGGGGTGAAATGAATTGAATCGAGGGCGTGTTTCTCCAGCCGAGCTTGCTGGGAGTTTCTGTAGGCCAATTCATTTTCAAATACTTTTATCTAAAACCTTTATGAAAATCTAGATGCAACACTTGGTTCAGAACAAACTTTCTGGAACGTATCATACACGATTCTTCCGCACTTGAAAAATGGGCAGGGGGTTTCTTTAGAGCACTGACGCGCTGTTGGCAATACACAACTGCAATTAGCTGTTCTGCTGTCTACTCGCTGTCCCTCTCGCTCCGCTGTGACGTCAGCCCGTCTTGCGTGCTTCGTGACGTCGTCCTCGCGCCGTGCTCCATCACTGCATATTCCCCGCCGCTCTCGGCCCCGCGCCATCCCTGGGGGAACCGCGGAAGGCACCGGTTCAATCGTCCCCGTTCTCGCGCCCACACGCTCGTCGCCGACAGTTAGCCGCACCACATTAGTGCGCATGGTCCGTCGCACACATCACGTCGCGTCACGCCACGTTGCGCCCCCGCACGTTGCGTCGCCTCGCCCCAATCCGTCTTCACCGCCATGGCGTCCGAACAGCCGCCCTGCCCGCTGCTGCGCGCCGCATCGCTCTTTACCGCTGCCGTTTCAATAGTACCCCTTTATGCCTGCCTCGTGTTGACCCCCTCGCTCGTTCGCCTTCGCCAGAAGCCGCCTTCACTCACCCGCGCGCTCATGCCAACTCTCCGCCCCTCCGCCACGCGCCCTGCTCCCCCCATCCCGTCCCCCATCACCTGCCCTGGCCCTCCCAACTCCTGTGCAGTCGCGTCCGCCCAACGGCATGCGGGGGGGAGAGCGGGAGGAGGAAGGGGAGGAGGGGCGAGAAGGGGAGGAGGAATTTGCGGAGATGGGCGAGGGGGACGAGGAGCTGGTGGAAATCGACTCCGGAGGTGCGCAGGATGCGCAGGCGGAAGGGGGGGTTGGGGAGAGGAGGGATGGGGAAGGGTGGATGCAACGTCGGCAGGATTGGCGGTGGAGACGAGGGGAGGGGGTTGAGGGGTTAGCAGGGGCTTTAGGGGCCCACGGGGCGGGTGGCAGCAGGCAGTGGTGTAGTGGGAGGGAGCAGCCAAGCAACCACGTGCCTTGCTGCCTGCTCCCTGCGCCTGCTGCCTCTTGACCTCTCCCACTCGCATCCAAGCCCGGCCGGCCAAGCTTGTCTTCACTCAGTTCTCATGCCGTTCCTCTTCCCTTCCACTCTCCCACAAACCCACCCACTCCAGTGCCCCTCCCTCCCTCCTACTTCGCCCCTCGCCCTCATTTTCCTTTTGACCCCCCCCTCCCCTCCACCACCGTGACTGCTGCCCCCTGCGCCCACACAGATGAGGACGTCCTGTCGGCTGACTTTGACGATGACACGCCTGCTGAGCTGGCAGACGATGGCATGGGTGAGTGGGGGCAGATGGGTGATGGGAGGGCATGAATGGCATGGCCGCATGGCACTGTGGTGCTGGCAGACATGTGAAAGGGGGCAGGAATGGGAATGTGAAAGGAAAGGGAATGGGGGTAGCAATTGGATTGAGAGCATTGCTTTGCACGGCTGTGCTGAGCAGCACTGCTGCTGCTCCACCGAGTTCCATTCCATCCCGTTGCCCTCGCTGCCGGCCAACATCGCCCCCTCCCATGCTTCGCCCTGTGCTGCTCGAGAAATGGGTGGTGGCAGGGGGCGAGGAGGGCGAGGAGGGCGAGGAGGGAGGACTGGATGACTCAGTGCATGTCTTCACGGCGCACACAAGTGAGTGCATGTGTTCACGGCGCACACAAGTGAGTGCATGTGTTCACGGCGCACACAAGTGAGTGCATGTGTTCACGGCGCACACAAGTGAGTGCATGCCGCGTGCCCATGCTGCCACTGCTTGCTGCCATGCGTCTCTGCAAAACTTGCTGCTCATTCTGATCCTTGTCCTTCAAACTTCCGGATGAGTTTCCTTTGGTCACCTCTCCCTCTCTCCCTCTCTTGCTACCTTCTCCCTCACTCCACACACCCATGCCGCCACCCCCACCGCCCACCAGGCAGTGTGTACGCGGTGGCGTGCAGCCCACTCGCGGGCGGCCGAGTGGCATCGGGTGGCGGGGACGACGTGGCGTACCTGTGGACCATTGGGCACGCGGACGACCCCATCAAGCTGGAAGGTGTGATGCTCCTGCTACGCACATACCAATACCACATGCGCGCATGCCAGCACGTGAGCATGCCCTACGGGGATGGCCAGGTGCAGTAACAAGGCGCAGAAGAGCAGCTCCCTCGCAGCGCCGCATGCCTGCCGTGCGCCATCTCCTTTCTGCCTTCAACGAAGCCCCCCACTCTCCACGTGCTGCCGTTGACCCGCCCCGCGTCCTCCGGTGCATGGCATGGCAGGGCACGGGGACAGCGTGGCGGCGGTGGAGTTCAGCACGGACGGCCGGTGGCTGGCCACAGCGGGGATGGACGGAGTGGTCATGCTGTGGGACGCCGCCACGGGGGACAGGCGCCACCGCCTTGAGGGGCCCGGGGAGGCCATCGAGGTGCGCATGGGCGCCACGGCACGGCAGGGCTCTCCCCCACCTTCCTCTGCGCTGCTCACCCCAGCGCTGTGTGGTCATTGGAAACGCTGCTGGCTGTGCCTCGTGCCGCCGACACACCTCGCTCACCGGCCTCTCTGCTCTCGCCCTGCCCATGTCCGTCCCTCGCCTCCCTCCTGTTCCCACCTCCCCCTGCGCAGTTCCTGACGTGGCATCCACGTGGCGCAGTGGTATTGGCGGGGTCGGAGGATCTGACAGCGTGGATGTGGAATGCGGAGACGGGCGCATGCATGGCCGTCTTCACGGGGCACAGCGCAGGGGTCACCTGTGGGGCCTTCTCGCCTGATGGTACATGCTGCCTCTGCTCCTCGTGTCTTGCTTGCTGCACTTCCAAACAGCTCACTGTGTGGTGCAGCGGACAGCAGAGCAGCTCAGAGTCAAAGCAGCACTCTTCTGCCTTGCTCGCATGCCCCACTCTCCTCCCCTCCCCGTCTCACTCTGTTCCACCCCTTCCTCTCCGCGCCTCCAAGCCGAGCAGAGTGGATCTGGTAGGCGGATGGGTCAGTGTGAACTCTGAGTCGGCCCAAAAGTCCCTTCCTCCACCCCTGCTCATCGCTCTTCTCTTCTCCCCTTGGCTATGCCAACCCCCAGGGCGGGCGGTGTGGACGGGGTCAACAGACGGGTCGGTGCGCTGCTGGGACCCGCGTTCTGCCGCCACCACCGCCACCCTCCAAGGTCTGCCCCCACCTCTTCTCTCCCACCGCTCTCACCCCTCCCACCTCTCACCCATCGTACCTATCGCACCTGCCACCCCTCTTACCACTCACATGCAATGGCTGTGTCTCTATCACCTGCTCTTCCATGTGCCATGGCCCATCACTCCACCACCCCTCACTGCGCGTCACGGCACGGCATGGCAGGCCCATTGTTCCACAGCGACGCCATCACGTGTCTGGCCATGGCGCCTCAGGGCGCAGTGGGCGCTGCTGGCTCTGCCGACCACACTACTGCGCTCTTCGGCCTGCACCAGCCCAAGGTGGGTGCCGTTCCCTCCCTTGGCTCACTCCCTCGCTCTCACACGCACCTGCCCTTGTTCCTCTCACACGCACCTGCCCTTGCTCCTCTCACACGCACCTGCCCTTGTTCCTCTCACACGCACCTGCCCTTGTTCCTCTCACACGCACCTGCCCTTGTTCCTCTCACACGCACCTGCCCTTGTTCCTCTCACTCCCCCCTTTGCTCCACCACTCGCGTTTCTACAAGCACACCGCAGAGGCACTTGGTCTCATTTCAGTATCTTCTCCCCTCAATCATCTGTGTCATGCCTGCATGCATGGCATGGCATGGCATGGCATGGCATGGCATGGGATGGCATGGCATGGCATGGCATGGCATGGTATGGCATGGCATGGCATGGCATGGCATGGCATGGCATGGCATGGCATGGCATGGCATGGCGTGGCGTGGCGTGGCGTGGCGTGGCGTGGCATGGCATGGCATGGCGTGGCGTGGCGTGGCGTGGCATGGCATGGCATGGCATGGCATGGCATGGCATGGCATGGCATGGCATGGCATGGCATGGCATGGCATGGCATGGCATGGGATGGCATGGCATGGCATGGCATGGCATGGTATGGCATGGCATGGCATGGCATGGCATGGCATGGCATGGCATGGCATGGCATGGCATGGCATGGCATGGCATGGCATGGCATGGCATGGCATGGCATGGCATGGGAGGGCAGGTGTTGGGCAAGCTGGAAGGGCACACGGACTCGGTGGAGGCCGTCGTCTTCAACCCCCTGTGAGTGCCTCCCTCACCCCCGCCCGCCCTGCCTCTGCCTCCTTTCCCTCCCGCCCTTCTTGCCACTGCCACGCCCTGCCGGATCGAAGCCTTCCTGCACGAAGCAGTGGCATTGTCCCGCTCTCACGGCGCCTTTGCGCTTGTGTGTGCACGTGTGGGTGCATGCGTGCATGGGTGTGTGGTGTGTGGTGTGTGGTGCATGGTGCATGGGTGCATGTGTGTGTACATGGCAGGGGGCCAACGGTAGCAACGGCATCACTGGATGGGTCAGTGCGCATATTTGACATCAACTCGCTGCAGCTGCGCTCCACCTGCACTCACCAGGTCAGCTGCACCTGCTGCTCGTCGTTGTCCGTGCTCACGCCTTCATGCCCTTCGCACACTCCCACTACACTGGCCAGTGTCAGAAACATAATTTGACAGCCAGTCCCCTCAACCCCCACTCCCCCCCCCCTCTCTCCCCTCTCTCCTACGCCATGCTTGCCACCGCATGGCAGGACGGGGTGGTGCAGATGCTGTGGGCGCCGGCAGCTCCGGTGCTGGTGACGGCGATGGCAGATGGAGCAGTGCATGTGTGGGATGCGCGCACGGGCGCCATTCAGAAGACCCTGCGAGGCAACCGCCATGCCGTGCTCTCCCTTTCCCTCACCCCGTGAGCCCTTTCCTTGCCCTCACCCCGTGAGCCCTTTCCTTGCCCTCACCCCGTGAGCCCTTTCCTTGCCCCCCTCACCCCAATGCCCATCACTCTGAAGCCCATCACAATGCATGTCTTGACTGCATACATGCCCAAGGATGCACTCATTCCCCACAGCCATACCACACCGCTGCACGCCACCAGCCCCTCACCCACTCTCACCTGCGCTGCATGCCACGTGCCCCACACCCACCGCCTGCCCCATGCGTCACCCCCTGCAGGGACGGGGCCTTCGCTGTGACGGGGTCGGACGACCACACGGCTCGTGTTTTCCAGCTTTGACTGTGCCTGCATGGGTTCCCTGGGGCTTCCATTGGGAAAAGGGAAACTCATGAAACAATTACGGTAGCTGTTTAGGGAAGGTGGTGATGCGGCAGAGCAGTGTGGCATGAGTGAGTGCGCTCATTCCCATGGCTGCTTTTGCTGTGGAGTTCACCCCACACTGCGCTCTTAGCAGGCTGCTGCCCTACTGCCCCACCACTGAGTTCAGCCCATGCGGTCTTTGTTTGTTTAGGATGTGAGTGAATAGCACTAGAAATATAGACGTGTCTTTGAGTTGTTGAGAGCAATAATTGAAAGCCCTACTGCTGCATATCCTCCTGGCTACCAGCTGAACAGATGTGAACATCCTCGTACGGTCGCATGACACCGAACAAGCTTTGGAGCCCCTTGTACCGTACAAACCGCGCAGAACCCCTTCCCCCTCCTCACTCCAGCAGGTCGCTGCCTTCCCTGACCATTACAAAGAGCGACCCGGCATCGCCCCTCGCAATCCGGAAGTCATCATCGAGGTACGTGATGAGCTGCCACCCTGATGCCCGCTCGCCATCGATGGGCAGCGCCAGCGGGGGCACGCCCGACACCAGCTTCGCCACCTCCACTGCTGCCTGCTGCACCGGCTGCAGTGCTGCCGCCAGGGGAGAGAGGTCCAGGGTCTGGCCGAAGAGTGCGATGGGCGCGAGGGAGGGCGGCGAGGCCGCGTCGAGGGGCTGTGGGGACGAGAAGGTCACCTGCTCAAACTTCACCTGGTGTGGGGGGAGGGGTGAAGGGTGCAGTGGGGGCGAGCACAGGGAGAGGGTGAGAGTTAAGAGTGAATGGAGGGAAAGAGGGGGAAACAGGTGCGTCAGGAGCGGAAGCATCTGACCAGCATGTCCCCTGCCACCCCCATGGCAGCTGCACGCAGCAGTGCTGACCTGCAGGCGCTTGCCGCTCCTGATCTCGGCCTTGGCATCAACACGGATGGAGGAGGAGGTGAGCGGCCCCTGGAACGAGATGCTGTTGCTCACCGCCCCCGCTGCCAGGTCCACGCTCTGCGTGATGGCGCCCACCCGCACCAACGGCACCTGCCCCGCCGCCAGCAGCGGTAGCAGCTCTGAGAACGTGTACCTGGGGGGTGGGGAGGGGACGAATGGAAGGTGGAGGGGGTGGGAGGAGGAATGGGGGAGAAGGGAGTGGGAGAAAGCGGAGAGTGGGGGGCGCGTGAGGGAGGAGGGATGGCGGCGTGCCCGTTTTGCGGGAAAGAGGGGAATGACCAGGGAACAAACGAGGCAGGAGGGAAGAAACGGGGAGGGCGAGTGTGGGGGGAGAATGCTGGGGATGGGAGAGGGCAAGGAAGGGGACTGGGCGGGCAACAGGGAGGCAAGTGCGGGCAGCAGGGCGGCAGGGTCCTCACACGAGCACCCAGTTGCCGTCGAGCGCGGGCGACTCGGTGGGCGCCTCGGTGGGGTTGGCGGCTTCCAGCTGCGCCACCAGCTCCGCCACCTCTGCGCGCGTCTCCCCGCTCGCGCGGAACCCGCGCTCCGTGCCGTAGAGCGAGTCGATCAGGCACAACTTCAGGTCGCGCAGCTGCCGCTGCTGCGCGCGCGCCGCCGCCTCCGCCGCTTCCGACGCCGCAAAGGCCGCCGCTTCTTCCAAGGAGTCTCCGGCTGCAATCGCGTTCGCTTCAAGAGAAATGGTGGCTGCTGCTTGCGTGGCAGCAGCTGATTGGGCGAGCGTTTCGAGGATGTCATCCGGCACTGACTCGTCGCTGACTGCCACGTCATCAGCGTCGTCGCTCTCGTTGCCATCGCTGTACCCGGCGCCGCCGGACCCGCCGCTCACGGAGGCGATCCACGTCGCTCGACGGGAGGATCGCCTGGCGACCTGTGCGACGTCGCGGGCGACTAAAGCGCTCGCGGCGTTGAGGCGATCCGACGGCGATCTGAGCGAAATGGCGCACGGCGGGCCCGCTGCGACGGAATGGCCCGCTGTGCGAAGGTCCGCGAGGTGCGGACGCGCCGCAGGCGATGCCAGCGCTGAGGCTGCTGCTGCGCTGATAGCGGCCATGGCGCGACAATGACGCACGGCTAGGACCAGGGGACGGATGACGAGGTGCGTGTGTTTGGCCTAACAGAATGCGGCAGCAAGCAATGAAAAGGAAAGTCGGATCGAGTGGCTCAAGTTTGGGCTTCGGCGTGGGTCACTGCTGTTGGCATGCCTAACGAGCCCGCTACAAAAGGGTACATGTGGGGGAGCCAATGGTTGAAAATGAGCCACGTAACGCGAAAACAAAAGGATTATCTCGTGTAATGCCGGTATTGATGTCTTATGCAGATCAAATGTAGCCTTTTCTTTGCCCCAAGAGATGCGCACAGCGACGAGGAAATTCATATCGAGTACATTTTGAACAAATCTGCAAGCAGCGCCGACATGCACTTGTCGATTTCTGACGCTGCGCCATCGCCCAGCCTTGACTCGCCGCGTCGCGTAGCGTCGTCGCGTCGCATCCTCCTCCCCGCCGGCGCTGCTGCCCGCGCGGTAGCTGCGCCGCGCGCAACGCGCCACCACCATGTGGCGCCAGCGCCACCCGCGGAGGGTGGACTCGCCGCCACGTGGCATGCCAGATGGCGACACCAAGGACCACCTGCGCGCCACATCAGCGGCGAGCGAGTCGCAAGCAACAGGCGCCGTAGTTCACAGACGGCCAGCCTTCTTCGTGCCTCGTATGGCTGTCGCTCTCGTCATAGTCGTTCTCGTGTGCGTCGCACTGATTGCACATTCCGAGTTCTCGTCGCCATTCGTCCAGCGCATCTGCCACCGCCTCTCCGCGCCATCCGGACCGCACATATCAGCTCTCCCCCCCGCGATGAACGGGGAAGATGGGCTTAGCGATCAGTCGCGCGCCGCCGGCGATCTCGATTCGCGTCCGTTCGCCATGGCCGCTGACAGCAGCGGCAGCGGCAGCGGTGCTAGCGCCGAATGGCACGACCACCGAAGCCGTTGGGGCGCGGAGGATCGCTCCGCGCGCGACGCGTCGCGGCTGCACGTGCGGCTCATCGTGCTCACGTTCGACCGCGCGGCGAGCCTGTCCCGCTGCCTGCAATCATTGCGGGCGGCAGACTATGGCGGCGATGACGTGTCACTGGACATCCACGTGGACCACCCGTTCGCGGGCGTGCAGCTGAACGACCCGCAGCAGCTCAAAGATCGTTTGGACAGCCGCGCATGGGGCGCAGTCGACCAGGCGGAAGGACGCGCATGGGGAGCGGAAGAGCAAGCCGACGACCCGCTGCAGACTGATTCCGCGGCAGAGGGCGGTCCGGGGGGAGGCGGGCCGCAGAGCGACGTCGAGGCGACTTCGCAGCTGCCTGGCAGCGCGAAGCGCGGATTCGCGGGTGGCGGCGGGTTGGGGCTGGGGCACAGCGCGTTTGGCGTGGAGGAGGCGGGGGACCTCTCCAACTGGCGCCACCGGGGGCGGCTCTGGGCGCAGCGGGCGCAGAGGGCCAAGGGGGGGACGCGGGGGAGGCGGCGGCTGGGGGAGGTGCGGGCGGTGGTTGGTGCGGTGGAGAGGCGTGGCGCGGGGGAGGTGGCATCTAAGCGGCGCAAGTTCCGGTCGGTGCTGGCGGTGGCGGACTCGTTTGCATGGCAGCACGGCCACAAGCAGGTGCGCATAGTGTGGTGTTATTAGCCATGGCGGCACGGTGCTAGGCTGTCAGCACGTGCAAAGCTGCATTGTGACATCTGAGAGTTCTCAACAGCGGCACCTCAACCCCTTGTTGACTTGACTGTCTCTACGCAGCATGACCGGCCGTTGGGGTGCATTGCTGTGCCGTGCAGGTGCATGTGCGCAGCATGAACGGTGGAGTGCAGGCGCAGTGGATGGAGGCGTGGTGGCCCAGCGGCAGCAACGAGTTTGCCTTCGTGCTCGAGGACGACGTGGCTGTCTCGCCGCTTTTCTACGCCTACCTCAAGCGCATGCTGCTCCGCTACTACTACAACCATACCGAGTACGACTGTAACGTGTACGGCATCTCGCTGCAGCGCCAGCGCCTGGTGCCCGGGCAGCCGGCCCCGCCCATATCCCACAGGGGGCGGCCGTTCCTGTACGCGCTGGTGGGCACGTGGGGGCAGCTGCTGCTGCCCGCGCCGTGGCGGGCGTTCCGCGTGTGGTACGACGCGCGGCGCTACACGCCGGGCAGGGAGCCGGTGATTCGCGGGCTCAAGACCACGGGCTTCTGGAAGGGAAGGGTGCGTGCCGCGTGGGCAGTGAGTGAGGTGGGATGGCCGGGTGTGAGGACGGGTGAGGGGGGGACTGGGTTGGGGTGAGGGGCCGTGTGAGGGGGAATTGGGGCGTGTGTGTGAGTGTTTGGGAGGGCAACCACGTCCTCGCCTCCAGGCAGGCACCACCTGCCAGAACCATCGATCCACCACGCAGCACTGCATTTGCGGCGCGTTTACACCCCCCTCTCCTCCCTTTTTCCTTCCCCTGGTCCCCCCTCTTGCTGGCAGGGCAACGGCATCTGGACGCCGTGGATCGTGCGGTGGGCGCACGCCACGGCCGCGCTCAACCTGTACGCGTCGCTGGCGGGCGGGCTGGCGCTGAGTGTGAGCCACCGCGAGCAGGGCGAGAGCTTCAAGCGCTCCCAGGGCGCTGATGCCACTCTGCTCATGCCCGAACACCTCGCTGCTGGAGAACACCTGGGTGCAGCAGAGCAGGTGAACGCAGGAGGACTCCTGAATGCAACAGAGCACCTGACGGAGCACCTGGGGACAGGGCAGGTGGGCGCAGCAGAGCAGGGCCCATGGTGGTGGAGGGAGCTGCCCCCGTTAGCCTCGCTGCCGCGATACGACTTCTGCCTGCGCCCCCTGCCCTGGGTGGGGCGCGAGGGCACTGCGTGGGCATGGCAAGGGGAGGGCCGGGGGGAGGGGGGCGAGCAGCAGGGCGGTGGGATGCCTGGGGGTGAAGGGCAGGGCGGTGGGGGTGGAGTGGAGGCGGAGGCAGGGGGTGATGATGAGGCGGCACTAGCAGGAGCTGAGGAGGGCCGTGCAAGAGCTGGTGATGAGTCAGAGGGAGGCGATGCTGAGTCAGCAGGAGTGGCTGATGACACGTATGCATCCATGGTGACGCGCGATGAGGGGCTGGTGCGAGCAGTGCAGAGTGCCAGAGGGGTGAGTGGGACACAACACGGATTCAATGCTGCATGTACAGGTAGAACTGGGTTTGAATTAACTTTCTTTTGTTTCGCTCCTCTCACAATGCAGAAATTTAAATGCATCCTCATACACCCCATGCTTCTCAACCCACACCCCGTACCCTTATTCCATGCCATGCACTGCAGGTGACATCCTTCGCTCTGCTCCTCCTGCCGGACCACCAGCCCTCTCCCACCGACCTCACCGCGCCACCGCAGCAGCAGCACGCCCACACACACCCCTGGGCGTCCTCCCTGCTGCGCCAAACAGACACCCCCCCCCCTCCCGCATGGCAGCAGCTGGCGCGCAACTGGGCGTGCCACATGGACGGGCTGGGGCTGTCCCACCATGCCGTGCTCACCTCCTGCCCCGCCCTCGCGCTGCACCTCGCCACGCGCGGCCACCTCGTCTCCCTCCGCCCCCCCTCGCAAACCCCCCTCCCTTCCTCTCAACCTACCTCCATCCCCTCGCCCCCCCTCATCCCGTCCCCCACGCATGTGCGCACGGCCGTGGTGCTGTCAGCCCGCCTGCGCGTGCCGGTGCTGCTGGCCTCGCCCGCCGTCACGTGGCGCGGCGACCCCTTCCTCTGCCTCTCGCCCCGCCTACTGCACGCGCACCACAGGGATGCACAGCAGCAGCAGGCCGAGGGGCAGCAGCAGGCGCAGCAGGGGCAGTGGCAGTGGGGTGGGTCTAGCCCGCAGGAGCAGGGGACGACGGGTGAAGGGCAGGCCACAGGCCAGCCAGAAACTGAGGAACAGGCGTGGCAGCGGGCGGGGCTGGCAGTGGGGGTGGGCGACTCGCCCCTCTCCGACGTGTTCCTCCTGCCGCCCTCTCCCGCTGCCCGCTCCGCCCTGCACTCCCTGCTCGCCCACCTGCTCTGGGCCACCCCCAGCAACAGCAGTGACGGCAGCAGCAGCGACAGTGGATTCGGCACAGGTGACAGCAAGGGGCAGGGGGAAGCGAGGTCATGGGAGGCGCTGCGAGCAGCATGGCTGGGTGCAGGCAGCAGTGCAGACCGGTGGGTTGCTCTGGAGGAAGCAGCGAGGAAGCTTCAAATGGGTGTGACTGTATGGAGGGTGGGGTTGCCGTGCTACATGGCGCCATCGCAGGTGAACTCCTCGTTTGAGTCACAGGGCGTGCAGCAGGGGGCGTGGATGGTGGCGGGGGGGAGGGGGAGAACGGCAGAAGAGGCGGTGGTGGGGATGAAGGGGGCAGGGTTGTGGGAGCTGGATTCGGTGGATTATGTGTGTAAGAGTGTAGTGTGCCTGCAGTCGAATAATCTTATACCCGCTTAAATATATCTTGATATTATGTACGACAGTTGTACATATTTCAGCATTTAGAACGCCTTAAACAATGAGCGGAGATCCATGCAGACACACACACAATGCAGCAGAAGGCAGCATTGGGCGCACAGTCAGGCCTGCATGGAGCATTCACCACAGCTGCTACAAGCACCCATCCCAACCCAAGTGAACCCCTAACCTGCAGTCATGCGCACCGCATGGGCAACACATGTTGACCACACAGCAGCACAGGGTTGCGTGTGACTGGCAGCGTGCGTGTGGCACATGCACATGCCATCGTGCCATGTGAGGTGTAGTCGGGTCGGCTACCACCACAGCCTGCATGCCACGTTGCACCACACACACGGCACGAGCAATATACGGCATTGCCTTTGAAAGGCGTTTTCACTGTGCTGCCAATGGAACAGCAGCTCTAACGTTTTTTGCTGCTCTCCAGGACACACGGTAGAAACGGCACCCCTATTGCTGACAGCGGCGACAAAAAGAAACCGCCTCTCCGCACTTCTTCCCCACTCCCCTCTCTTCCCCCTTGCATCCCTATTTCTCTCACATCCCTAAGGCTCCCTACCTCCCCCCCACACCCCTACCGTGCCCTTTGCACTTTCTCTTCCTCCACCCTTCCCCATCCCTCAGTACCCTCCCCCACCACCTGCGCCTCCACGGCTGCGAGACACAGCAGCACCCTTGGCCCCTCCACTTGGCGGGCGCCGGTTGGCTTGCTGCTGCTGCGAGTGCGGGGGCTGCTGCTTGGACGCCCTGCCTCGTGGCGCACAGGCGCCTGCCATGCCTCCGCCGCCCATGTCTGCTCCTCCGCCTGCCCCCCCTGCACCTGCTGCTCCCACTGACCCCTTTCTTGACGACCTCCCACCACCCTGCTGCTGCTGCTGCTGCTGCTGCTGCTGCTGCTGGGAGTATTCTTGCTGCTGCAGCGGCTGCTGGCGCTGCTGCTGGTACTGCTGGCGCCCAGGTTGCACCTGCACCGGGTACTGCCCACCTCGGCCTTCGCTGTACCCCCCACTCCCACCGCTGCCCTGCTCCTCATAGTACCCTTCCTCCTCGTACCCCTGCCCCTCCTGCCCCTGCTCCCCATATCCCTGCTCCCCGTATCCTTGCTCGTACCCTTGCTCTCCAAACCCTTCTTCCACATACCCTTGCTCGTTGTACGCTTCCTCATTATAATGCTGCTCATTATATCCCTGCTGATTATAACCCTGCTCATTATATCCCTGCTCGCCATATCCCTGCCCGTTATACCCCTGCTCGTTATATGCCTGCTCATTATACACTTCCTCGTTATACCCCTGCTCGTTATACTCTGTCTCGTGATACCCCTGGCCCTGCTCTCCATACCCCGCCCCGCCATACTCATTGCCCCCTCCGCCCCGCTTTGTGTGCCGCCCATACCCCTGCCCCGCGCGCCCTGCCTCACTGTACCCTGCCTCGCCGTACCCGCCTTCATACCCCGCCTGCCTGCCGTAGCCCTGCGTGCCCCCAGCCTGCTCGTCATACCCCTCTTCGCCCCCATACACACCCTCCTCGTACGCGCCCTCGTACGCCCCTTGCTGCTCGTACGACCCAGGACCCCCCCCTCCCCCTCCCTCATACCAATCATCGCCTCCCTGCTGCTGCTCCTCGCCTTGCTCGCCCGAGTACCTCCCGCCATCATGCACGTATCCACTTGAATACCCATCCGCATGCCCTTGCTGCGCGTGCATGTGCTGCCCCTGCCACTGCTGCTGCCCCTGCCCCTGCCACTGCTGCTGCTGATGCTCCTCAGCTCCCACCAGCCCCCCCACCCCCTCCCCGCTATCGAATTCCTCCTCCCACACCCCCCCCTCCCCATACCCCTCATCCTCCCCCCCTTCGATTGCCCCAGCTCCTCTGCCATACCCGTACACATGCCCGCCCGCCCCTCCTCTCCCGCCACTCGCAGCCACCCCCCCACCCGCAACTCCCCTCACTGCCACGCTTCCCCTCCCCATTCTCCCCGCACTCGCTCCCCCCTCTACACGCCCACCTCCGCTCATCCCCCCTCGCACGCCCTCCCCCTCACCCCCTCCGCTGCTGCTGCTTGATTTCTGCCGCCCATGCCTTCCCCCTTGCGCCCCTCCCCTTGCGCCCATCCCGCGCCCTCTGCTCCCCCGCTGCTGGTACTGCTCGTATTCGCCTTCCCCGTTACCACCCACGAGCCCCGCGTTTCCAACACTCCCTGGCGCATCCTCGCTTGCGTACCCGCTATAAGCTCCTCGCGAAAGGGGCGACCCCGTTCGTTCCGAGCCTCCTATTGACCCCCCCCCGTCCTTTCTCCTGGATACACCGCTCTTGCGCCTCCCAGTCGGACCACTCCCTCGTTCGGAAAGGGACGAGCCTGGGCGGTCGCCAGGGTCGGGCGCGCGGGGAGGGGTGGAGGTGCGCACTGTGGGGGGCAGCATCGATGCGGAGTGGCCGCGGGGGCGGCGCATGAGCTGGGGGGAGGCGGGGCGGTCGGAATGGGCGGAGAGGCGGGAGGCGGACGGGTGCAGCGGCGAGAGGCCATGGCTACCCGCGTCGCTCTGTGCGTTGCCCACACTGCGACTCCTGGGGGAAGGGGAGGCAGGGGAGTGGGACGGCAAGGGAAAATGGGAAGGCAGAGGTGAGTGGGGAGGGCGACGGCAGATGCAGAACAGCAAGGGTTCGATGATGACACTCAACCATGACTGGAGAAAAACGATGGCATTCACACCAAACCATCCGTCAAACCAGTCAGCCATACACCATTTAAGAGTGTGCACTTGACCAACTATCCGGTCCCCAGCTCTGCGTTGTCTCTAAATAACACAAGTGGCGTGCAGCAACAGGCGCGGACGGCTTATCCGCGCGGCACAGCAGTGGCCTCGAGCACGCGCAGCCATTCTCTCCATGCCTGGACGTCCAACCATCCTTGGATCGCTACTCACAGTCCGTATCACGAGCTATAAGACTCGACCTTTAGCTTTCTTGCGTACCGCTCCCACGTCCGGAAGTTTCTTACTCACCTTCCCAAGCTGGCCCGCACTGGGCCTCCCAATGCGCCCCTTCCGCCATCAGGAATGCCCCCTCTTCCGCGCAGCTCCCCCGCCGTTCCGCCAATGCTCTGCGCCCGCCGCCCGTAGCCTCTCCGCCCGACAGCTTCCCCCGATTGTCCGCGCGCCTTCTGCTCATCGGCGGAAAGCGTCAGCTGCTCCGCCTGTTCCGCGCCCGCGACGGCCTCGCGGTGTTTATCAAAGGAGAAGAAGGCGACTTTAGCGGCCGACACGGGGGCGGGAGGTCGCGACACCACCGATGTCGCACTTCCGCCGGATCGCGTCCGTGCAAGTCCGCCCGCGTTTCCCGGGTTGATTTGAGCACCCGGTGCATCCAATCCGCTTCCGGCGCCGGTGGAGGCGATGGTCCTGCCGCTATGCGCGCTCGCCTTCTTGTTCGCAACCTCGGCAGTCGCGCGGAGGGTGCCCATCTCCTTGTGCTGCCGGCGCAACGAGCTTCTATCAACGGCGGACACGGTAACGGATCGACGAAGATCGTCCATTGACGGCTCGTCAGCTGCTGACGTGTCTGCCAGAGGAGGCGACTGCTTGTCGGACCAATTGGCGTCTGGAGATCTCGTGGCTGCGGTTCGATTCGCACTTGGAGTAGCTGCACCCTTGCTGCTGTCGTCGGAAGCCCCCTTGCTCGCGGAGCCCCGGAAGTTGAGCCATTTGGGCGGCCTCGGGCCGTCCTTGGAGCTGCCGCCGCTCGACGCCGACTTACCGTCGCTGGCTCCTCGCGGAGTCGCTCTGCTCGAATCGCCCCTCCCAGGTGTTGACGCGGTGATTCGGGAAAGAATGGAGGATGTAAACGTGCGAGAGCGACGGAAGTCGTCAGGGTTGGGTCCGTCGTCTTCGGGTTCGTCATCCTTAGTGGCGGCGTCCATCCACGCGCTGTCCAGTAGCGCGTCCTTGTCCTCCCACCCCGCTACCTCCATCGTCGCCATTGTTCACCTTCTAACAGCTGGTAATCAAATGAAACCTATCGTTACAGCAAATTAATCGAAGCGATCTTCTAATTTTTACTTACTTCTGTAGTGACTGGAGGCGGAAGAGTGAGGAGAGATTAGGTGCATAAAAGCCTCAGCAGAATCAGGAGAAACGGATGTCAGACCCACAAGTAGTGATCCTCGGAGACACAGGGAGCCTTGATGGGTGGAACGAGACAGTCGCTGTGTGGGACTGGCTAGGTTCAGATGGTTTGGGATGGTTTGGGTCATGGCGAGATTTCAGTCGCACGGGTCCCTGGAGTAAACCCACTACAGTACCTTGAAAGCTGGCACGGTCCTAAAAGTGACGGTCAGTCCCCCATTTGATTCCTTCACCACTCTCACTCGAAGCGTAGGGCGCATGTCAGACATCTAAGTTAGCCACGGAGCCTCCACTTCGAGTCACCGTTATCACCTAATTTGCCCCCTCGCTGAGCCAACTTCGGGTCGCCTGTAAGTTCAAATTCGTTTCGGCACGCCTGACCTGAGGTACGACAGGAGCGGTGAATAGCACCTCGTGGGTCGGGAGCTCATCACCTTGAGGATGCCGCGCCTTGTTGGCGAAATGAACAAACCAACCATGGGCTTCAATGAGGCGGCTGAGTGCAGCCATTCCCAAGCACAACCAAGGGTTGGTGGTGTGGAGGAAGGTGAGTGCAGTTCTTTTGGTCTTTACACCTTACTCTCATAAACCATCACAAAGTCGTAAAGAATACTCCTTTTGCACATCATTTACTCCTTGGCGTCTTTATAACCTTAATTGAACAGTTCTATCAATTTAATCGTAGGAAACTCTTCAGTGACTTTGCTATCATCCGATGTAAGATGACAGGAAAAATGTATACAGAAACAACTGGTGGTACAAAACGTGTGATGTAACGGAGCCGAAGCAGTTTTCCTATGTCGAATCTGCACCCTGCCAGCTCATCACGCTGCCTGGATCTCGGCAGGGCATTTCATTTAGCGAATCAGAGTGGTCGATACAGACCATGCGACAAAAATCTTTGCATTAGGTGGACATTGTCCCTCAATTAGCGGGCCTCTCGATTCCACCGCGGCAGCCTTGTTGGCGTCCACGAATAGTTTGGAACTTGTAACCATATGCTTTACAACCGTCGCGCAGCCAGCAAACGTTTCGTGCAAAATGTCCTCCATACCTGCTGGTAACAAGTCCAACAAACCAACTCCTATGCATCCTGTCTCCCTCCCTCTCCCCAATCTCCATAACCTTACGGTTTCCCGTCTTTGGTGGAGCTAGGAAGGATTGCGTAGGTTTGAATGCTTGTGGTCGGTATCTGAAACCATGAGCTCTTCAAGAGCCTTTCAATGGGCCAGAGAGTTCTACAATCACCCTGCTGGCCCTAAGACTGTTTTCTTCTGGGCTCCTACTTTCAAATGGAGCCTTGGGCTAGCCAACATCGCTGACTACAATCGGCCTCCAGGTTGTCATTTCGATGGCACTGCTCTGAGTTGCATTGTCCACGCTAGTTTCCCCTAATCATGTGATCGTATCGTGGTCAGAGTGGAACATGGCCGTATCAGTTCAGTGCAATCTGGATTCAAGATTTCTGATTTTCGTGCCTGCCTGACAATGCCATGTCGTTCTCCCACATATCTTGCAGAAAAGGTTTCCTACCCGCAACAGTCGGCAGCCGCGGTGACCGGCCTCATCTTCATGAAGTACAGTGTTGACATTGTTCCCGTCAACTGGAATCTCTTCAGCGTCAACGCCTTCCTCTCCGCAACTGCCATGTGGCAGCTTGCACGAAAGCTCCACCAAGATTACGTACTGGTGCGTTTTGTTTTCTCTTAGCTTGATTGGGGTTGTAAATGCAGAGTTGTTTTGCACTTCCCCGTCTTCTAAGCCGTCTGGTACAAGTCTTCCACTCTTGAATCTTTAGGATAAGTTGTCTAAGAGCATCCAGATCCTTACTTCCCTTGTTGCGCTATGTCTGTGCAGGGTGGTCCGCCAAAGCCTGAGGCCATCACGGAGAAGTGATTCTTCTGAATCTAATCGCTTTCCGATGATGAGGTGGGAGGTCCTTGGGCCGTCAGTATAGTATATACCGAACACAGCTCGCTTCAGAATCTAAATCGCCGCAGCGAATTCATCCCTTTCTATAGCATAGCAGTCTCGCCCTCATCGTTTGTACACATATGCTACAGAAACCATCATTTCTATTCACATCCGATTTTTTACAACGAAGTGACCGTGATGTCAAAGTAGCTCTGGGAAGTGGGGTGATCGAAACTGCTAACTGACGCTGTCAGAAGGATTGCTGGCAGATCCGATCTTCGGTAGCCAAATCCATGTAAGACCACGATGTCGTGTCATCAGCAGATCCCTTTGATAGCTTAGCTGATCATTTGCGTGGCTCTCCTGTTGCGCATCCCTGGGGCGGCCTCCGACAGCTCTCCCCGTTCCCTACTTTCTCCTCTCTGTTCCCATCCTCCTGGCAATGCCGTAATTTCGTCTCTTTTTCCCGGTTGAATTTCCACGTTCAGAATCCTTCTCGTTGCCCTCCTGTTCAGTATCGTCTCGGCGGTCCTTGGCCTGACATATTCTTGACCCACTCTTACTCGTGGTTCTCTTGTTCCAATCCGTCCTCCATTCTTTTATCCCTCTGCTCTCAGCCTCAACCTCCCTCACTCCCCGCCCGTCCCCTAGCCCTTTCAAGCCTCCTCCCCTAGACCTATCAAGCCTCCTTCCCCCGCATGCTTCCATCACCCTCCCCGGCTAACCCTCCCCAATTGTTCCAGTTCAGAAGTCACCTTCCCTCTCATGATCCGCCATCTTCATCGCCCGCCCCCTCTCCAGTTCACAAGTGACCTTCCCTCTCATGATCCGCCATCTTCATCGTCCGCCCCCTCCAATGTACTTGCAACTAGCAAAAGAATTGAGAGTCCTGAATTGCAGTAATTACAGAACTTAATACCTACGAGAAAGCAACCTGAAGCTGTGGTCCATCTGATCTGATGTGTAGTCCGTCCATTTTTTGAAATTATGTTGGTGGCAAAGAAAACTGTTATGGGTTGCTTGCTAAGCTTTGATTCCTGTATGGGCAAAGAATGGAGTTCCTAGCAGTTCAGGTTGCCTGGGGAGATAACACAGAGTATGTTCTCGCTGGACTTTCAGGGTGGGTGTGGAGTGTCTCACACATGGTGTTAATATCTCACCTTTCTTCTGTGTGTTGTTGCCAATCTTAGAAGCCACTCTGCATTGAGAGGATGGTGAAAAAGGCCACTGAATTTGCACTGTTTGCATGTTACATTCCATCTTAAAAAATGAAACAATATGGTGAAATATCAAAGACTCCTAAGAAACATCTTATTCAGTAGCGGCAGCGCTTTATTGTTCTGATGGGGGATAGAGTCGATTTGTTCAATCCAAACGAAAACCCGATGTACAGTACTCCCCCGTCACGACGGGCGGAACTTGATTCTGCCGTTGTCGGGTTTGAACACCTCGATGCCGTGCAGGAGACTCGAAGGCAGCCATTTCCATTTCTGGGGCTCGTCCAGCGGTCCAGCGCAGAAGTGCGTGCATGGCGGCTGGTTTGGCATCTCCTCGGGGACCTTGCATCGCGGAATCCACTTGGCGGGCTTCGGCTTGGAGTACTTGGACGAGTTCTCCACGTCGACTTGCGTCGGAGGCACGTTGCACTGGAATACGTTCGGCTTCGTCACATTCGCAGCGCTCTCCAGCGCGCTTACGGAATACTTGGCTAGGAGGATCGCCCAGTACAGCCTCCGGCCTTCCCACGTGCAGACGTCACCAGCGATATTATTCGCGTTGCGAATGATACGTCTTGCTTTGTGATCGTTCGCCCTCGCCCACTCGATTTGCGAGAAGAGGTTGGAGAAGTAGCGGTGCGTGGGGACGAAGTGGCGGTGCGGGCAGAGCAGCGGGTCGAAGAACTGCGTGTACTCGCTTGCCTGCTTGATGAGCATCTGGTTGCTCGACAGAATGCCGCACACGCGCCCGCTGCCCGTGCCGCCGTCCACGTCGAGCTCGTACTTGAACTCCTGAATCTGCGCCGGGCCCATGCGCTCGCCCAGCTCCACCCCGTCGTCGCGCATCCTGAGACAAAAGAAAGAAAAAAACGGCGTTCAGCAGGTGAGAATTTTCCATAGCGATAGACACACGCTGGGAATAGAGGGAACGCGCGATGGTAGAGGGAGTAGACGAAGCGTGGTTCACAAGCTGGGCAGGTTTGGAAATGCGGTGCTCACCGGTCGAGGAACTTTGGGTCGACGTTGCCGACGACCTTGGCGTCCACCAGGTCTGGCCGAACCTCCGACATCCGGTGCACGCGGAAGCGCGGGCTGGAGCGCCACTGCGTGTCATACTGCACGAAGAAGTTGGTCATGCCGCCGCGGAACACGGCGCGGCCCTGCTTCTGCTCCCACGGCACAGTGTCCTCGATGTCCCTGAAATAGCTCTTGCTCAGGTCTACGGGGTCGGGGTAAAGAATGTCTACGCTGCCGGGAGCGCCGTGGGGGGAGAATATCGGAAGGCCCGCGCGGTGCTTCGCTACAGAGCTGACTCGGCTGGTGGGGAGATCGCAGGTGCTGATAAAGAACTCGGCGTTCAGGTTGTACAGGTTGTACTCGATAATAGCCTCCTCGATCATTCGGATGGAGAACACGAAGCGGCGCATCCTGTACCAGTCGAATTCGAAACCACCGAAGCGGAAAAAGATCTCTCCTTTGACGATTCGCACGTGCCCCGAGCAGGACAGGACACTCGACATCGTCGCCATCTGCCCTAGAAGCTTCGGGCTGATCATTCCGCGCGCGCCCATGCCTTCAGAGATTCCCGGAATGCCCATCCACGGGCGCAGGTAGTTATGCGCGAGGCACGCGAGCTGGCGCACCTTGGCGCTGTTGCGGTTCAGCGCGGGGAACGCCGCGAGGTCCGCTACGCACTCCTCGGGGTCGTCTATGTCGGGTATGCCGCAGGATCCAAGTCCCGCCTCGTACAGTCTGTTATTGGAAATACAGGGGGGAAAACGAGAGAAGGGGGGTGTGTGAAATCACTGTTGAGAAACGAGTGTGTGCTTGCGATATCCTACCGTCAGCGACTGACGGGTGCGTAGCGTGGAAGTGTTGCGACAACTGCGGCCAGAACGGGAACTGGAGGATGGGGACATGGACGTGACGTCTCAGGTGGCTCTAGAGTGAGAGAGCGCTGGCGCCCTGAGCCGCGGTGGACAGGGTTTGTTGCTCGCGCTGTACCTTTCAACAGGCTCGGATCCGCAAGATGACACGTCGCTGCGCGCAGGCTGCGGCGCGGGCTGCATGAGCACCGCCTCTGCTTCCGCCATGTCCGTCTGGTACTTAGCGAGCCGCCTCCGTGGGGTGTCGTCCGCCTGAGAGCAGCAGAAAGTGAGGCAAGGATGAAGAACGTTGCTTTACAAGGGCGATTGACCATACAACGGACAGACGGGGACACTAGCAACGTATCGGCAAGTAATCTAGAGCGTGAAAGCGCTGCGAACGGCGTACCATGAACGTGGACTGGAAGTGCGCATCTGCGACTAAAATGATTGCGCCGATCAGAACGGCCAGCAGCAAACTGCGTTTCGATGCTCTCGTGCTCGCACCCATCTTGAACTAGCTAAGTCTTCACAGTATGCTCACACAATGTCGCGAAATCTGCTGCACCAAAAGCTCCTTCGGTCTCTGGAATTATTTTTTGGAATGGCTGTAATAGACGGCGCTGATACATATCGCCTGGTATCCTTGGTTCTTTATATGGAGGAGGCAGCTGCTGCACTTGATTTGTTTGTTCTGTGACCTGTCGCTGCCACATCACTAGTGGGGAGGACGGGGGTTATTGTTGTGGTGTGGAGTGTGGTGTTTCATCGTGACACATGCGCTTCGCTGAGCTGAAGTTCCACTCTGGTTGATTGCTGTTGGCGATTTGATAAGGGAAAATCGTGCATCGTAGGTGCAGGGTAACGTTGATACGGATGCAGGCGAACAATTCCGCAAGCCGAAGGTGAGGTACTCGTTCGATTCGTCAATGCTCGTTACAGCTAACATGTCGTGAGGGCCAGCATCAGCCGAGGCGGCTCCGTCGTTCACACACACACCCACTCGCCACAACTAGGAACAGGTGGATCGTCAACCACTTCAACAGGCCAGCCCTCACGGCGGGTGCGGACCGCGAAGTATGGATCACCCGAATTTCCAGCTTTCACTGTTTAGATGGAGGTGTCATCCCTGGTAAGGCGATCCACCGACTAGCATAGTGTTATAGGCAGTTTTAATTAGTAAAACGAAACGAGAAAATCGAGAATTGCAGTAAGGGGGAAATGTTACAAGGTATGAGTGGAGATATGAGCGAATATTAAATAGCAAAATGATACAAACAATAAAGCGACGTTCCGAGCTAGCCTCTGCAGTGTTGCCAGTGAGGTTTGGGGCCAACGTTTGTGCAACCTGCAAGGTTTGGCAAATGTAACGTACGAGGCGGCAAGCACCGATAATCGATAATGGACAGACAACTGTCGAGTGTTGTACGTACAATGCAAGCAGATGCGCCCTAAGGAATTTCAAAACTTAACTTATAATACCTGCTACGATCAGAAGTTGATCGTGGCCAGAATCTACTCAGGAAGGTTCGCACGCAGATAGGTAGTGTTGGTGGGCCCTTGACCTCAATAGCAGAGTGAATGTAAAATGCTTTGAGATAAATAAAACATGCAAATACAACGATATAAATAAGAGTACAGGGGGGATACGAAACGACCTAACTAGCCATGTACTCTAAGGGGTACATTCCCTTATTCAAATTCATTCCCAACTACCTTGCGGCGCGTACAGTTACGAAACTGTTCCCGCCAAAACCCTCGCGCCTGCAGCTGCCCAATGCCGTCTGCTCCGACGGTCCAGAAGCACCCTAACCGTCTGACGTTTCGAATCAACTCTGACTCTTCGCATTTGTTCTCGATACTGCATGCTTCCTTAGCTACGGTCAGGAGTGCACTGTATTCTTCATTCATTACTATTCGTAACAATACCCTCCTCGTCAACAGAGCCTTTCGCTAAGTCAGCGCGTATATAACGCGGAATCTCCAACCCTCATGATACTCTTGAAGGGCGGGGTGTATTTTGAAATTGTTCATGGGCACCCCGGGTATGTGGTCCCTCCAGCAAGCGATGAACTTTATCCTTCGACATCTCTGGGGTTTTCAATTCCGATGGCTCTGATTGTTTTCGGATTCAGTGGATCGGCTTAGATAATGGACAATTCATGGATGGCTGCCGATATCATGGCAACTTGCTGGTGATCGGTGCTGAGATCAGAGATTGATCGTAGCCCGGGATCTACCCAGGAAGGTTCGCATGCAGTGTTATAGTTGGTGGGCCCTTGACCTCAATAGCAGAGTGAATGTAAATGCTTGAGATGATAAAAACATGCAAACAAGGTGGTATAAATAAGAGTACAAGGGAATACGAAAAGACCTAACTAGCCATGTACTCTAAGGGGTACATTCCCTTATTCAAATACATCCCAGCCGTGCGGCGCGTACAGTTTCGTAACTGTTCCCGCCAAAACCACCTTGCCTGCAGCTGCCCGATGCCGTCTGCTCCGACGGTCCAGATGCGTCCCAACTGTCTGACGCTTCGAGTCAATTCCAACTGTCTGACGCTTCGCGTTCATTCTCGTTACTGCGTGCTTCTCTTTGCTGCGGTGAGGAGTGCACAGTAATATCAAATGTTACTATTCGTAACACCCCCCTTCACTCCTGGCCGTAGCTCGACTTGACCTGCTTGACCACGCCGCTGAGTTCGGAGCAGTGCTGATACTGCTGACGTGGCAGTCGCTTCGTGAGGAAGTCTGCTGCCATGTCACCGGTCGGGCAGTAGGTCAAGTTGACCTTGCCCTTGTCCACCTCGTCCTTCACAAAG